TCCCCTTCGGTTCCCCTAAAGGGGACGAGCACTTTAGTTCCCCTTTAGGGGATGATGTTCCCCCTTCGGGGATGTCGTCTTCCCCTTTAGGGGAAGAAGAAGAACTAAAGGGGATGGAAAACAAAGTCCCTACTTGTTCTTTATTTTAATGATGACAACCCTTTGGTTCATCCCCTAAAGGGGAACTAAAGGGGTTCCCCTTTAGGGGAAGACAACCTTTGGTTTTCGTCCCCTAGGGGTGTCAAACTTTGGGTTCCCTTTGGGGATAACCGAAGGGACACCCTTTGGGCTCCCTTTGGTTATCCCCAAAGGGAACCCCAAAGTTTGTTCATCCCCTAAAGGGGAACTAAAGGGGACAGACAACCCTTTGGTTACCCATCCCCTTTAGTTCTTCTTCTTCCCCTAAAGGGGAACTTTAGTTCCCCTTTAGGGGAAGACGGATGACAAGGGGAAGACTTTGGTTCATCCCCTTTAGTGTTCCCCAAAGGGGAGACGAAGGGGTTCCCCTTCGGGGAAGAACTAAAGGGGACAACCCTTTAGGGGATGACGAGCCCTTTGGAAACCCTTTTTGTTACCCATCCCCTAAAGGGGATGAAGAACAAAGAAGACAGACAAAAAATAAAGAACAAGTTGTTCATCCCCTAAAGGGGAACTAAAGGGGATGACGAAAACCGAAGGGTTGTCTGTCTTCTTTGTTCTTCATCCCCTAAAGTTCTTCCCCTAAAGGGGAACTTTAGTTCCCCTTTAGGGGAAGAAGACGAAGGGGAAGAAGAAGAACTAAAGGGGATGGGTAACAAAAAGGGTTTCCAAAGGGGAAGGAACTTCGGGGAAGGAACTTCGGGGAAGGAACTTCGGGGAAGGAACTTCGGGGAAGGAACTTCGGGGAAGGAACTTCGGGGAAGGAACTTCGGGGAAGGAACTTCGGGGAAGGAACTTCGGGGAAGGAACTTCGGGGAAGGAACTTCGGGGAAGGAACTTCGGGGAAGGAACTTCGGGGAAGAAGGTTGTCTTCCCCTAAAGGGGAACAAACTTTGGAAACCCTTTAGGGGATGAACCAAAGGGTGACCTTTGGTGACCTTTGGTGACCTTTGGTGACCTTTGGGGGATGCTTCCCCTTCGGGGTTAGACTAAGTTTGTTGTCTTCTTCTTCCCCTTTAGTGTTCATCCCCGAAGGGGAACACCCCTTTAGTTCGTCTTCTTTAGTTCCCCTAAAGGGGATGAACCAAAGGGGTTAAAACGAAGGGGATGAACCGAAGGGGGGTTCCCCTTTGGGGAAGACGAAGGGGTGTTACCCTTCTTCATCCCCTTTAGGGGAACTAAAGGGGACGGAGTCCCCTAAAGGGGAAGAAGGGGTTCCCCTTTGGGGAAGAAAACGAAGGGGAAGAACTAAAGGGGAACTAAAGGGGAACCCCCTTGGTTCCCCTTTAGGGGATGAACTAAAGGGAATGGGTAACCCAAAGAAGACAACCCAAAGGGTAACCCAAAGAAGACAACCCAAAGGGTAACCCAAAGAAGACAACCCAAAGGGTAACCCAAAGAAGACAACCCAAAGGGGGAAGACAAGGAAAGCGCTGTAAGTATCTCGGTGGAAGACACCGTTAGTAAGTTACAACGACAGTGCTCTGCACTTAGCTTGTAGTTTCTATGGTCAAGATCTTGTAATTCCTCTTCGAGAAACTAACTACAACTAGGCTTAAGCTTTCCCTTCGCGAAACCGCTACAATATATATTATAAATTACAATATATATTATAAATATATTATAAATTATGTATAAATTTTATATAAACTAAAACGTTGTTTGAGTTTTAAAATTAAATTAAAATTAAACGGAAAAAGCAACCAAAAACAAAATCAACAAGCATAGTAATTTTAGCCCGAAAAAATAACTAAAAATTTGTTTAATGTGTTCGGACATTGTGCTTGGAAGTCCAAAAAAATGCGTAGCTAAATTTTTTTTGTCACAAGTATCGGGACTTTGCGAAAAAGACTACAACCTTCGGTGCGTTGCAACAGTTTTTGTGATACGAATGGGCTTTTTAGTAGGCCTTACGTCATAATGCATCGCTGCCAAGCAGCTAGCGGGCTGCGGCCTACTTGAAACGTAGTTTGTTAGGGAGAGTAAAAGTCCCGGGCCTATCCTAAGCTTAACTTACTTTATAACGACCAGCTAACCCAAAGGCCTAATGGCTACACCCTCTTAAAACACTACACCCTCTTAAAAGACAATGTGTGCGCTCACTGGTTGTACTAACAAACTTAATCACAACAAAAGGGGATCCTCA